AGTTGCAAACATTCATACATTATTAATGATTTATTTCAACTAACCTCAATTAGATCATCATCTCGACGATTAGTTTCAAAATATCTCATTAGTTGACTCTTTGTAATTTCTTCATCACGGTCTTTGTCGATTGCGAAGAATATTTCTAGAAATGCTTTCGATGTTGGTTTTGTGCTCTCTTGATCATCAAATTTTACAACCATGTTGAAGAATAGTGACTGTGATAGTGTCGACTATACACACAGATTATATTTGATAGTTACTTACTTGATTTAATGTATATATACATCAACAGATAATATACACGAAATTATCAATAGTTTAATCTCTAAACACATCATGACTAGAATTGTAGAATGTAATTTAACATTAAACAATAATTGTCACACTAGAATTAATCAGTTAATTTTGACAGCTTGGTATTTGAAAATATATCATTCAAATTGATTAAATACCTTTCACTACATTCTTGTGAATGACCTATTTAACATCAAAGTAATAAACAATTAGTTTAGTAGTCGTTCCAATTATATTCGTGTGTAACCATTCAGTAATCCATGCAGACAATACAATTATTCCATCGAAAATATTGTATATCATATAGTTAATTTTCCTGAACGCCTTCTCACCTATCCATATTAATGCACATTCACTGCACTCATTGTTCATTGAGTGACTATCCAAATAATCCATTTTCATACCAAGTGCTTTTTCTACCATTTAACATGGTTGTGTTCTTAGTTTAATCACCGTAATCCAACCATCAATATATCTTTTAGAAAGTGTTTGTCGTTATGGTAGAAATGTATCTAGAATGATAAACGAGATACGTTGTAAGAGTCATCAAAGTCCTACGGTGTTTCGACTTGTACAAATGATTGGTCACAGATTAGTGAACAATGTCATATTCGTCTCATCATTCAGTACATGTACAGTTCCGTCACTCAAGTTGTAATGTGGTTACTGGTTTAATTGACTGAAGATCACGTTTACCATGTTGAGTTGTCAGGTGGTTTAAGTTAGTCGTCGGGATACGATTGATCTAGTTCCGATATCAGTTCACTATTATCGACAAATCACACGTGAACTCTTGAGTGGATGGGTTCTCCATATGATATTCGAATGCGCATCACTACATTATTCTTGTTGTATAGAAAATTTTACACTGGTATCAAAACCATGGATGTTAACACGCTCAATAAATCAATTCATCGTCTATATATAAACCATTCACTGACCAGTCCATTGATTACTGTTCACATTATTGTCTTGAAATCCCATTCTTCATGGATAACGATAGTATTACTCAGCAATGGTTATCTAACTCATGTCGACTCGCTGTCTTAAAAACAATCAGTTATCTCCACAAGCCATTTGTACAGATAAATGTTATAACTACGAACTGATTTGCTCATACGTTTACGAAGATCTCGTGTAGTGGTGAGATGTTCACACCGATTCATCATATCATATCATATCATGTCATGTCAAAAATGTGAACACGATTGATTTTAATGCAGTCTACTTCCTGCTTGTAACTGTCAAATTCAAATATTTATAGTAACCAGTGCTCGTTGAAGCAGTAATGTCTGTCGAATTTGGAAATTTCATTGCATAACATTCTGACATTCTGAGTGATATGTGCTGAAATCGTGTTTCGGATTTCACAGATTGACATATTAATATTGAAGCATTTGATGAGTTTCACTCTGAAGAGAACGCTCAATCTAGACTGAACCGTTGTTCACTGTCAAGATTACGACCATTAAAACTGTAACTAGATTAAAAATGGTGGAGGCGATTTCAACAACCATCGGTTGTGTTGGTAACGTCAACAATAATTCAAAGAAGAGACAACGAATGAACTAGCCAGTAACATATCATTCTCAAAACACCAAATAATTCAAACGAAATTTGGCGACACAAAGGTTTATAGTAGGTAAAGATGCAAGAATGTTTAAAGTATAATCAATGAGTGAATAGCTCACACGAATAACGTATGCACCAATATCTATTAGGTTTGGGTCATTCTGATTAGCCATAATTACACAATTTCGATAGGCTATATTCTCTTGACAAATACGCTTTCTCAACTAGTCCGTATTGTTCTTGTAATCAGTGAAGATGACTGACTGAATCCTATATGAATACTTTCAATCAGTGATCAAAGACTATTATTTTAGCATGGAATCGAAGTATACCTGTGTAAAATAATGCAATGTGTTTGCGTTTCCTCCAATACATAATTTTCTCACTCATTGTTGTTGGTTGATTTTACTTTAAACATTACAAAACTGTTAAAACTCACGTTTTAACGTGAGATCATAATTGTATCCAGTGTGATGTTTAGTCAGTGAAACATTCGTTCGCCTTAATTCAGTATGATATTCATTCAGTGTAACCGACCAAACCTCGTCTTGTTTTGTTACAGTGCCATTCTATTTCAGGTTTCATACTATCTCAGTTACTTAAGATACTTCCTGACTAATCATCCGATGTAGATAAGATCTAGATACAGATGAGTGTATTTGTGTGAAGTGATTGCTGAATTTTTGGAGAATGAAAAGAATCTCCATCAACGCCTGATCCGGATTACAGTTATGTCTGTTAAACTATATCATCTAGATTGTAGAAATCCCTAACAACATGACAATCTTTTTGAACGTAGTGTTGATATATTTGAACTTTATTTGCACTCAGTTGTTAAGGATAGGAAAATGTGTACTTTATCGGGAATAAACTTTCGCGAAAATGTCTAGTCAGATAACAATGACGAGCGAAGAAAGAAATCATAATGTTCTCAAAAGCAGTGAAGGTACACAATGACCAAGTGCTTGCGTGACTTTTGTATACTTTCTAGCATTTCGATGCTGTTCATGATATTCGGTAGTATGGATATGTTTCACAAATAAATTTATTAGGATGACCGCTTTTAATTTACATGCACACCTTTCTGTATTTAGATTGTCTAGTAACTGATGTTTTATTCTTAGCACATGCTAAGTGCATGATATACTATCTACAGGGGACATTATGCAAACACCGTTTTCTGATTACGTGGTCTTAATTAAATCTTCCAAATACTAACCTACGTAGAAATTTGCTAATTATGTACTGGATATACCTAACGGTTGGACGTGTCTTGATGTGACAGAATCATGACTATAGTGTTTAACATAGAGAAAGCACGATTTGCTGTCTGTTTATTTCTTCGATTATTGATAGTCCCAATAAATACGTCTGTGTTTGAGTTTGTTGATTACTAGCTGACAATGATGTACTCATTGCTTTTTGGACACCCCAACAAAACTTCACTATGATATTCATTCAGTGTAACCGATCAAACCTCGTCTTGTGTTGTTGCAGTGCCATTCTATTTCAGGATTCTTACTATCTCAGTTACTTATGATATACGAATTCCCGACGTTCTTGTGTTCTATAAGAATTGTCCAGTCTGGTAATTATTGGGACTAATTATGACAGAATTCAATCTGTAAATGACAGGATGGACTCGCACGTAATTGAGTGATCGCTGGAGTTTGTGTAACAAATCGTCTTCGCAAGATTTGTGCATTGAAGAATCGATAGAGCACCACTTACGTACTTACTTACTTACTTACTTACTTGCTTACACCTGTTACTCGCAATGGAGCATAGGACGCAGACCAGCATTCTCCAACCCACTCTATCCTACTCTGCCTTCTTTTCTAATTCCATCCAATTATTGTTCATTTTTCTCATGTCTATTTCCATTTCGCGGCGTAATGTGTTCTTTGGTCTTCCTCTCCTCCTTTGACCTTCAGGATTCCATGTGAGGGCTTGTCTTGTGACGCAGTTGGGTGCTTTCCTCAATGTGTGTCCTATCCACTTCCAGCGCTTCTTCCTCATTTCTTCCTCCGCTGGAATCTGGTTTGTTCTCTCCCACAGTATGTTGTTGCTATTAGTGTCCGGTCAATGGATCTGAAGTACTTTGCGTAGACAATTGTTAATAAACACCTGTATTTTCTGGATGATGGCTTTCGTAGTTCTCCAGGTTTCCGACCCATACAGTAGAACTGTCTTGACATTTGTATTGAAAATCCTGACCTTGGTGTTGGTTGATAGTTGCTTTGAGTTCCAGATGTTCCTCAGTTGTAAATATGCTGCTCTTGCTTTGCCGATCCACGCCTTCACATCTGCATCAGATCCACCATGTTCATCAATGATGCTGCCCAAATACGTACAGGATCTTACATCTTCAAAATCTTCTCCGTCAAGTGTGATTGGATTGTTGCATTCTGTGTTGTATCGGAGAATCCTGCTTTTCTTTTTGTGTATGTTGAGACCTACTGCTGCTGAGGCTGCTGCTACACTGGTTGTCTTTTCCTACATGTGTTGTTGCGTGTACGATAGGAGGGCCAGATCATCTGAGACGTCTAGATCGTCGAATTGCATCTTAGATGTCCAGTGTATCCCGTGTTTCCCTTCAGATGTTGATGTCTTCATGATCCAGTCGATCACCAGGAGAAAGAGAAAGGGTGAGAGTAAGCAACCTTGCCTGACACCGGTCTTTATTTCGAACAACTTTGTCAACTCTCCTCCATGCACGATTCCGCAGTTTAATCCATCATGATAGAGCACCAAGTAGTTTTAAAATGCATCACTTTTGTTATTAGATTATACAACCAAGTTATACCACCACCCACCCATATGTCCGAAACAATAAATCTCTATATGGTAGACAGTATTGAAGTTCTAATTGCATAGCTGACACGATTTTCAAAGAACGTTTAATCGATAGCAGATCCATACTAGTTAATCAGTATCACTATTCTACTATTTTGTTCTCGTTACAATCATATACATAGATAAATATCATGGAAAATTATTTATATGGTATGAATATGTACCGATCAATGTTATGTTGAATGAATGAAGTTCCATTCAGAATACTTCCAATCAAGTAAAAACTATAAACATTACATGGTCGTTAGTTCAGCTTAAAATGAAACAACTGACAGTAAAAGAAGTATATTGAAGTAAATTTTGTAAGTTATATTTCTATGCATGACACAAAGTCATATGCTAAAGTTTCAATCTCACATACACATCAATATAACATTTCAACAAAATAAATAAATTGTATACGGTGATGTGTGTGTTGTGATATGATTAAACTGTGAAGGATTTATAATAAAATAGTTTGGTGAACACTGGATAAAGTAAACGATAGTTTGACATTTGGGTCGATATATATATGTATATATATGCAGTTGGTTAAACAACAATATGGGTAAACAAAATTCAATTACTAATAAATACTCGTTACGTAACTGCAATTATCATAATTTTGTTGATTCAATGTCAATATTTAGGTGTGCGCCAAACTAAATAACACTTTTCTTTCAATCGAAATTGTAGAGATTGTTCAGGTAAATGTGAATACGATATCCAATATGAACCATCGATTATAACAACATGCCATGAAGGATCGAATGTCTTATCAAGCCATTGTTTTATCATTTGTGTCATATCTTGACCTGATAAATTTTTATCTAACAGTGATCGAACAAATTCAAATATTTGGAATTGATCTTCTGGTGACATATTTTGGGAGATTATTTGTAAATCTTTCGGCAGTGGTCGGTTATTGACAACACTCTTCCGAAGAGTACGTCTGAAAAAAATGATAAAATGATGAATTACAATTTATACTTGTTTGACAGACAGTATTTTGTTGTTTGAGAGAACGAATCCTGAACCAACTCTACTCGTATATGAAGCTCCACTTTCCAAGGTCGAATATGATGTGGGTTTAAGAGTTATTGGGCAACAGGTCCCCATTTGATACTTAGCTCAGTAATATATTCGTAGTTCACTTTAGATTATCCCTCACATGAAAATCCTGTCGATGAATCCATATGGTAAATTGAAGCTTTGTTTCCATGTTTAGGTGACTCCTAATACAACTCAATATTAGTCGGGAAAGCAGCTGAATAAACAAGAGGGATAAGTTGACACAATGCTAGGAGCGAAGAAGTTTTCACGATGAAAAATACACATTGTGGTTTATACTTTAATATTATTTGCTCTATAACACCAATTTCTCAGATTTTATTGAGGTGGCTCACAGTTTCCCGGCTTTAAGTTTAGGTTGCTTTCACTTCTAATCAGTTAAGTGGCGGTGATTAGCTCTAGTTAATTTTGTAATTTGTTGAACATGTTTATGGACTTGCATTTTATGTCATGTTACATGTATTGTTCACAAATTTCATCTGGACTTAATAAAAAGAAGAGAAATATTCTCATCACTAAATGTACTACACACAGAATCAAACATTTCAAATAACTAGTTTTATATACTTTGAACTGTATCGCTTCAAGTAAGTTCTTGTTAAAACTAGACGTAAGAAAATGCAAAATGACTAGACTCACGCTTGTTCCGGTTTTACACCGAGGACATCACAAAATTTTTGAAATGTTATAATACCAGTATTTGTTGGATCAAATAATGCTTGCCATCTCTGTTTGATTAAAATTTACAAAGGGAAGAAAAATACAAATAATTACATAAGATAATTAAACCATCGTATTTTGATCATGCATGAATTTTCGTTTGAGACGTAAGAGTACTCTACATGCGATAATGTGTTAAGGGTTTATTTTGTCCAAAGTTGACACAATTATGTTCAAAACAACTGAGAACTTAACATATTGTGTATTATGAATTGGAAGTTTCATCAAAATGTTCCTAGTTTATTTGACCGAAGATCAACTATTTTCTTTTTCGCAATCTCGACTTTACTGCTGGCAAACGATGAAAATGAAGTGGTAATTATTAGCTACGCTTTCGTAGTCCATCATGGAGAACATGTTTCGTTCTCTGTTGTTTTTTTTTTATTTTGTCCAAAGTTAACACAATTAGGTTCAAAACACCTGAGAACTTAACACATTATGTATTATGATTAGAAAGTTTTAAAAATAAAACATCGTTTTTAAAATGATTGAATTTTTTTGTGTTAAGGTTTTTCCTATTTACACTTTCCTACGAACAATTTAACTGTTATTTTTCTTTGTAGGAATTTGTTACTATGTAAACATTGCATCAAATCTATTCATTTATACAGTGATAATGGATACCTTCCTGAATTTTAATTATTCTAATACATATTATGATTATTATTATTATTATAGATGAAATTGCTCCAAATGTTTAGTAACAGTAATGTTCAATAACAGATTTACATAAAAATGAATATGACATCACAGTAACTATTTAGTTTATTATTATCTCTAAACCATTTCAATCATTTGTTAATACCAGTTTTAGAGGTTAATTATGTTATTCCTCAACATTTAAGTAAATAAATAAAACAGTATTAATTTCAAGACAGTTTTACCTTTTGGCGAATAACAGTATTTTCTCCATGAGTGTCTTCGCGAACAGTTTTGCCTTTTGTTATATACATAAAAATCAATATACCTGAAGGTGTATATTTTAGCCATATGTTGGATAGCCATAATGCAACAAGTAGGTTTATTCTAGGGATTACTGTCAGTGTTAAGAGAATGCTTATGATATAATTATTATTCATTATTTTGTAAGAGGATAAATCTTCCATAATGAAATTTAAGGTAAATATTTAATTTCAAAACAAGATCAACACTTACATATTATGATAAATCATCTAAAACTGAATAAACCATAATGAATAAGCTAACCACTTTAATTGAGTACAACAGTACTTCTTCAAATACTTTTTTTACCTAGCAAATCTCTAATGATTCTTTGATAACGTTATCAAAGTTTTTTTCTACTTGTCTTTCTCGTTTAGGGACACCCTTGTTTATGACATTGCTATATGCTTTCAATTATTCCGCTACTTATACATGAAACCTTATTCTGAATGAGGATATAATTCTGAACTTATAAAACTTAAGAAACTTCATCAACATCAGTATATATATAATTGCAAACAACAATAACAATTTACATTGTGTTGCAAGACTTGTTTTTCAATATTCCATGTTGTCGAAAAAGGTAGCAAGACTTATACAACTGAGCTACCTTGCTCATTGAATTTAATACTACTAGAATATTTGCATTTTACGCTTAACTAAATTCTATTCTTGGTAACAATGTCCAACCTGTGGTTTAGAAATATCCAATCATATATTATATACGTAAGTAATGATAGTTTGAGAATATCTTTATAACCTTATCACTTCATGAATCTATTCTGCAAAGTTATATAATACTATTGACTGTGAAATATTCCACTATTCTAAAGATATAGCTTGAACTAGTTTCTTGACAATTTAAAAAGTAAGTAATTTCAAAACATTAATTATAAATAAAACAATTTTTTTTAGAAAACAAATTATCTACCGTTATCATCCCTTCATCTAAATGATTGTGCTTTACATAACGTCTCAATTCATCTCTTGTAATTGTCTCATTTTGTTGCTCATCTATCGCAAAAAATATATTAACGAATGGTTCCATTGAAGTTCGAAATGTGCATCAATTGTATATAATAGCTATATATATATATATATATATATGTCAAAACTAACGCTTTCACTGATTCGCAACTTACATTCTCTCGATTATCGATTAACTTGAAACATATTCAACATGTAAGTAGCATTTACATATGAATGTAATATTTAATAGAAAATTAAAAGTAACCAATTGTGTAACATACATGTGTGCATTACCGAATACTTTTGTTGAATCATTGTACCTAATCATTAATCACAAGAATGAGCTCATAAGAATGAGTATTCAAAAAGGAGATTTATTTTGATGTGTACATGTGTGTAAATCGGGAAAAATTTTGTAAATGACTTTCGAAGGATTTTATTATGAAATAAGTTAGTTTGACTGTTGGGTTTGTTTTTTACCTTTTAAGAAGAAAATCCATTCAGTATACGTTTATCATTATTATTAGCTCTGTTCAATATTGTTTTGTTGATACAAGATAGAATTATCAGCGCACAGTATTTCAACAAGTTTCCGTTTAGTATTTTTTGATCTACCAATTAGACGTTAGCAGTTCAAGTATTGACATTTGAATAATGTACATTCTCTTATGATGTGTATTGCCAGTAACCACAATGTCTCTGATTGTGTTCTTTCCTAATTTGTACAGCAAAAGGTTGTGAACTTTTCACAAACGCACCTGAATAGGTTGCACAATTAGTTGACATTGTCATCCGTTGAAACATACAAAAGACAGATAACTTTATGATATTCCAATTATTCGGTTTTCATTGCACAAAATTGTGTAACTTTTTAAACCTACTTGTCTCATCACAAAAACTGTAGCATTATATAAATTGCTTCTAATCCGCTTTTAATAATAGAAGTCAAATCTTTCACACTACAGAATGATATCACTTAAAGAGCCATTGTAAATCAGGGAGTAATGGACAATTTTTGAGTAATATGTGCGTATCTACTAATTCACTAAACCTACAAATTTCCAGTCTACAAGTCAGTATGATCAAATCGCTAGTATTTCTGACATTATTCGCCGGAAAAGCAAGTAAAGTACTCATCATTATCTATTATAAATTGTCATAATCTTCCGTGTGACTTATTGAAGTTTAAAATAACGATACGCTAATATCAGCTTAGAAAACCCGGACGAAGATTTTACATTACTTATCAAGTCCTCATTAATCCGTTCTGGAGTCATTTAAAGTTGATCCTAAGACTGGCTATAGTAACATTGTAGTGACAAAAAATCCTGTATGGGAGCTTTCAACAAACTTCCTATAAAATTAATTATATGCTTGGAAAACAAATATATGTATTTGTTTTATTATTTGTCAAATAAAGCAAATTGTATGCCATATCTGTTTGGATGAGATAAATAAGCAAGATTACATTTCTACTCAAAGTGTCAATTAATCAGCATTACTTATGTTTTAATTTGGTATGATAATTAGAGAGTGAACATAATCTTCATCTGCCCTCTTCCTTGGGTTGTTCTAATCACAATTCTTCTTTAGTTAGTTATGACAGACGATGTTCGGAAGCCGATACTGATATACTATGTGCTCAACTCACTACTTGAGTGAGAACACAGTAGTGAGCGAGAAGAAATATTGGGCTATCAAATAAATGCACAAATACTCATTTATATCTGTACAACTCTACCCCTTTGGAAATTAATCCATTTTTAGACAATCAAATGCACTTGAACATCAGGTCACTTGTGATTGTTATCAACTGATCTCATTAGGCTAATTTTGATAGGCTCATCATATCACCTATATTTACAAAGCGGGTTTTCATAGTTATAATAAGATCACGTTATCGAAACTGTTCACCTATACTTTAGCAAGTGTTTGTAAAAATCATTGATATATCAAATGACACAATCAATGTAAATCCTAAACTTTTATTAAGTAACCTAAGATATTTAACCAGAAGTAATTGTCATCAAATGATGAAGGTTTTAAAAAGGGAGAATCTGTTGAGATCCCTCGACAATTCAAAAAGATGTTCATAAGCTAGAAAATGTACATGATTTTCTGCTCATTCAGCTTATCCTACAAAAGCTGATAACATCTCATCCTGTTAGAATGTTTTACAGCGATTTCTAGGGAAATGACAGGTTATCAGTGTTGATTACTTTCTCTGTCACTTAATTTGCTAAGTTTCCAGAAGTTTCTTGAGTTTAACGGTATCCCTAAACCCACAGATAAGTTTGGTTTTTGAAGATGAAAGAACCTTGAGAGCCTGGCTGGAATCGATTCATGGGGTTAATTGACTTAAATGAATGTTGTTCTTTGTTAAAAATACATTAACTGATATTCTTTAGACTGTTTAGAAAAATGCTCCTTAGAGTTTTAAAAACATATCTAGAGAAAATAACTGTCCGGATAATGTAAGCAATTAATTAGTAGTTCTTGGTTTATGGAGCGTTGTTGGTCATGTTCCTCCTCAACAAGATGATGCTGGCCTACGATGTCAGTGAAACTCCTGCTAAGCGAATACTTTATTATATGATGCAAAATGGTATATTCTTAAATTTTAATTATATGAGATAACTTTTCATCAATAGAAGAAAAATAAACGTTTTTTACCGGTTTAAATTTATATAGTCTATTGAATTTTATTGAGATTACAAACCGATCTAAGCTGTACGATAATTGAAAACCTAGAGGTACTGTACTAGTGTTTTATCGTACAATATGGGACTCTTCGACAGAGCGTACTTGTAACCTCGCTCCTGGAAGTCAAACCTAGGGTGTTTGGTCTTGCAAAGCTGTATTTCAGTTTCCTCAGGTTTCCAATGGTTCATGATCTTAACAAAACGTTTAATTATTTGTAACAAAAGCTTATGAAGATTGTTGAATTTTGTAGTTTACACATTTGGATAATCTTCATTAGAAAATCACTGACGACCAGGAAGAACTGGATATCTATTATTTTCAAATATGTAACGCTTCCTCAGTCAAGATTCATGCCCTTTCCATGTATTGAACCATGACCTCTCAGGTTTCGATAAGTTCACTTAACCAACAGTCTACTTATCTAGCATACAGTGGTAGATCATTGTTACTAACTTTTTTTTTAAATGATTGTAACATGAACATAGAAATAATAGATTTCAAAATTGATAATTCTTGATTGTTCGCGAAGCCCGATCGCTAAAATTCCTTCAGGATACGTATTAAATTTACCCTTTTCTTTACATTTTTTCTATACCCACATTTCATTAATGTTACCCTACTCTACTTACTTATATTAAGTAGTCACAGTAATTTTCAAGAAATTACATGGCAGCGCAAATCTAAACTAATCGCAATATTTTTACTTTGTCAGCTTTAAACTACTACTCAGTAGTGTTCAAACATAACATAAATATTCCTTGAGAAGACATGCACTTATCCATGAAAATGACTTGTTTCTAGATAAGTAGTTTCAGTGACAAACGTCCCGACGCACATATTTCTAAGAAGTGTTTTCAACACGTTTCTTGGAATCGAAGTTTACAATATTCATATATGACGACAGCAGTCATCTTTGATTTGTTTAATCCCATCTTACTTTATTTATATATGATGTGTTTCTACTACTGATAACCACGAAATGGCTGATACTCGCTTTTGTCAGTGTTTTCTGACAGATAACGGATCTTAATTTGAAAAATGATTTTAAGAATCCCTTTAGACGTTCAACTACTCACCAGTTGATAATTTTTTCTCAGCGAGCAGAACAGTAGATAGATAATAGAGGTAAAATATTTATCAAAGTCATAAAGGCTACCAATAACCTACAAAGGTCAACTAAAAACCACAGTGGGTTATCTTCAAATTCGTCTTAGTACGTTAGTCCACTGATATCAATTAGACTGACTGATATATTAGCAACATTCAGTGATGCATGCCCTTCCTTTCTGTGCCTATTTCATTCATGATAAAATAACTTTATGGGCTATGTCCAATCTCACTTTCTATGGACTAATCGCACATCTTCAAATAGACCTATGGAGTTCAAATTAGCAGACGAAAGCTCTATTTTCTGTGACAGAGTCCGAAGAAATGAACTGATTTTGATCGACTTGAAATATAATGAAAACATGTGTATGACATTACACATAATGACAAACGTTTTCTTCGAAAGTGATTTGTATGAATTTTTAGTCCAACAAAACGTCACATAGTCAAGTGAATAGAATAGTTCACTGACGACATCATGAATACAAACGCTTGCTTGGCTTCTGTAAACTCGTGCAACATATAAAATGGTCATGATGTTTGTCCTGTTTTCAGCGAGTGGTTATACCACTTCACAGTTCCTCTGTACTGGATAACGCTTTGGAAACAGGGTTTTCGGGAAAATATAATTTATGTAAGTTGATATTAACTAAGAACAGAAAACTTTAGACCATCGCTTAACAGTGGTAGTGTAGTGAACAGAACACAGGTGAAGACAATCGAATGTATTCAACACGAAATTACCGGACTTGTTAGTAAAATCTAACAATCATAAAAGTAAATGCCTAATTTGCAAAATGTCCATCAATTGACTCAGACTTCATTGTTCTTGCATTTTCATACAAATTGCATTTTGTTTCCATTCTTTACTGTTCGATCCTCTTGTCTCTCTGCTTCCAGACCTTCTGTTTATAACTACCATCATATACTACTTATGTCAATATAAGTAGCACACAACACAGTAGAAGCACTGAATGGTCGATGTTGAAGTTAAGAGGACAGATCCGAGCATATTCGATTGGTCACTTAATGAGGCCTCTAACAGTCATAGACTAAACTGAACATTATATATGGTTAGTCCATCTAGTGAACATGCAATACAGGCTTTTGTAATAGAAAGTTAAACATAAGTCAAGAGATGTTGCATTAAGACATCATATTACTACACAAATCAGTGGTTGAAGGGTTCTGCCATAATAGGAGTTACAAACTTCTTAGCTATGACCCAAAATTCCATTTCAGTCCTGAAAGTACGAAGTCATAAACAGGGTCGAATGAAAATCCATTCCTTGAACATTTTTTTCTTAGAAAGTTTCACTCCACGTCTTAATTTGTTTGATTTCAACCGTTTCTTCTCAGATTTTTTTATCACTTTAATGACTTTTAATTTACTGCTTTCCTAGTTATTATGATACAGGTTACTGTAAAATGGTTTCATATATAATTTTGGTTGGTTCGAAGGTATGTTATCATTCACAATCAGAGGATGATTGCTTATAAACTTAACGATCACGTAATTTCTAACCATTAAGAAAACACTTATCACATTTAATCAAACAATGTTCTATTTCGTAATAATAATTGATTATTGGCATAAATAACCACAACATTATCTTATATTGTTATTGCGTCTTTGATTTTCAGTTTTTATTTTCTACATAGTCTTCGAAATGGTTTTGACGATTCACTTGCTATTATCTAACGTAATGTACATCCAAAAAATAAGTAAACTTTATTATGTATTTCATGCAAATACATGCTTTTTTACTAACGTTCAAACATTAAATGTCCAAAAAGTAGTATATATTCAAGAAAAGAATTTCCAGGTACGAGTCTTTTACAATACAGTTATTTACACCAATAAACATTTAAAAATAACCAATGAAGCGTTGAGTGCTTAAACCTAAGTCATGTCCACATGGGTTATTCCGAACAGACCAGTTTATCTATTCTTCTTGAGTCATATTGTTTTTACCATGACTGTTTTTATATGTATGTTTTGCTTACCCTGTTCATTGTATTTCTGTAACTTATTATTATCCGGTCACACTAGGTCAAATCGAGATGACAGACTTTCCTTCTACGATCTGTTTCTTCGCTCCATTTCTCTAATTGTCTGTCAGGAGAAACGAGTATATGAAATATGCGTATTCAGAATTCATTCTTACATTTGGTTTATTTTACTCCCCTATTCACTAAAGCAATTTAAGTCGATAATTATACACGTGGATAGTCAGGATGCGTATTTCATTATCATCATCATACGATCAAATTTCTGTCATATCAGTGGGTCATAAAAATTTATCATATCCATTATAATCTAATGCAGACTAAGCATCATGACCATGGAATATTTTAATCATGCTAATGCGAATAACATGGATGTGAAAGACCAGTTATCTCTACTAATTTCAAGTTTGGAAATTCTGTAGAAATTTGTGGAAATCTTACAAAGTACCTTTGTTGAGGTTGTTAGATCCCCAGAACACACTTGGCAAAGGTCTTGATTTTGTAATTTTATCCTGAAAATTTGAATTTTATGTTTTCGCGCCAAGAGACGCTTAGTTGACCTACAGCTTACACTTTCCACTCGGAAACCCTTGACTGTCATTGGTTGACGGATTTTTTTAGTACGCTATTTTGTGGCTCTCCCAAGGTTGTTTCTATCATTGTATAAATAAGTTTGATTTGTGTGCTTAGCGACCTCGGATTTTCTGGGTGCTTGTAGAATACATTCTCTACGCCTCATCAAGACTTTTTGATCTAATTAGCGGGGCCGGGGACAGCGGATTACAATAGCCTATCGTGTCACTGTATTTTGCCCTTCGTTCCGCTTACCAATTAAGATGAACTCGTAATAGCATTCAATTATATCAAACTTACACATATAAGTAAAGTTTCAATAAAAGTTAAGAACTACCAATTACCATGTCAAATAGATATTTTGACTATTATTGTACCGTTACGTTTATTACATAAAAAAATGAATGAATTTTTAAAAATTATTATTAAATTAGCTTGAATAAATTCCCGATTTGTAGCTATTATTAAACGTTAATATCTATGGGGAGTTTCATTAAATCCAACCCAAGTAACCATGGAAAACTTAATCTGTATATGTAAATTTATTTTAAAGATTGATTTTATCAGTCAATGCTTTAAACTGTCAAGAGCCAAGTTGTGAACTAATTAAAGTTATGCAAATAAACTGTTACTGTCTTTATGAAAGACAATGAATTTGTTAATATAAGAAGAACAACAAACCGATACAGATAAAATCTCAATTTAAGGAAAAAAGCAAGTACAAAGAAATTTTTCGTCAATTAATTCTTTATTATTTAAAATATAATCGAAAAGACTGTTTAACTCAATTTTTATTGATCAGGTGTATTCCATATTAAAAAGCATTTGTTTCGTAGTCGAAATTGAAATGATCGATTCTCTGAATGCGTATATGATGCACCATAATCGCCACGTATTACCACAACATGCCATATTGGACCATATACTTTATGTAGCCATAATTTCAAACTATGAGCAATTTCTTTATTATCAAGTTCATTAGGTGGAAATAATAAACGTCTAGCTTGATCACTTATTTGTATCTGATCGGCGATACTCATTTGTTGTGCAATAACATAGACATCAGATGGAAGTATATTGGTTGAACGTCTTTTAATTTCTTCCCTAACCTTTCGACTATATTCAAATAAACAGTGATGAAAAAATTCTGAATATAAAAGTAGTCAATGTTCAACTACATCTTGAAGAACATGAATATATTCGTTGACTAAATTAGATAACATTTTTATAGTTAACAGATTAGATTTTTCATGTTAGAATGAGAATTAAATCAAAAATAATGACTTCTAATAAAATATTATTCAGTAGACCTTAACAAATGGTCTTTAAAGGGAAATAAATTAGTAGCTACCTAACTTACTTTCAATTATTGATTATTATACTCAAATTTTATGAGGTTTGAATACATGATATTTTCTTAAAAATCAACCATCTATTCATGTTATGGACTATTTAACAGATAGTTAATTATTAGTATAGGAGTTATGGAGATTATTAAGTTTTTGATTGAGATCATGAACCGATTGATGTGAGAAGCCGTGATCAGTGGAGCTAATCTATGTCGGGTAGAAACAGATATCGAGCAATTTTGTGGATAGTTGATGTTAGACACTAACACCATTGGATGCCGGCTCAGTGGTTCAATAGGTTAAGCGTTCGCGCGCGATACTGAAAGCCCTGGGTCCGGATTCCACGAGCGGGATCGTGAATGCGCACTACCGAGGAGTCCCATAAAAGGTCCAAACGGCCGTCCAATGCTTCTAGGTTTCCATCGGTGGTCTAGCATCAATCGGTTCATGATCTCGATCAAAAAGATAGTTAACTTAATGTTTAAAATGTTAATTATCATTTGTGCAATTTAGTGTTTGACCCAATCCCATTGTTTCATAAATGTCAATTAATTAAAGATTGTACGTTTTCCAGAAATCATTATCATTTAATGATGAAAACATCCGCTTATTATTTATATTCATTTCCAAATGTTGACTATCGTCAAATTGTGCAATTTCAACTTTGGTATTTATAATCAATAAAACGCAATGTCAGATAATCAATAAATGACGATATTGCTTGTAGATTAAATCAATTTAGAAAACAAGTATAATTGGCTACTTACTCAGTAGTCATATGATATCGTTAAAAAATCGTTAACCATGAAGATTTTAATTTTTGTAACCCAGGTCAAATGTCATTGAAAAACTATCTAGCTAATTGTCTCCGGTGATTGGTGACTTTTAGCCGATATCATCTCAAAATGAAATTTACTTTCAGACAAGCCTCCTAATAATAAATCATTCACTTAATAGAAAGATATGATATTTGTAAATGTTATTTCCTATTTCCGATTCAGAACACTTACGCTTCTTCCATTTTTACTCCTAGCACATCGCAAAACTTTGCTAGTGTTATATAGCCAGTACGATTTGGATCAAATAATTTTTTCCAGCTCTATAGGTAATAAGAAAAATGAAATATATTGTCAGAGCAATTATCTGTCTAGTATAAGTATTAGTACTATCAATATATTATCATAGTATTATGCAAACGAATTCAATAATGACTTTCTAAAAAAGCAGTTAATGTAGTAAATATATGTATGTGTTCTCATTAAAACTAAATTCTTAATAGAAAATTATACTTTCTTACTGATGACTTTGATGATATTGGATATCGCTAGATTGAATATGATGGAAAGTGATCATATCACAACGAAAAGGTTGTGTCAACAGCATAGACCAAGTGTTTTTGTTGTAAATGGTGGATTGCAGTTTAGATGGAGCAGCGTTTTATTGATCGATTACAGTAACACGTAAACACGTACGAAAGACCTAGTGTTCTGTTTGATCCTGCTTCCCTGTCTATCCCAGCCAGTTGAGTCCAGAACACATGCCACAGCCTCTGAGATATGAATCATTATATTTCAGACATACTCTTTTTATATACCAAACAAACCACATCGTACCATAAAATAGAAAACAACATTTACACAATATTTAACAAGCGAAACAAATATCGACCAATAGAGAGTGTACATTTAAAGTCCAAGGTCACCATTAGACTTAACATGATAATTATTGGTATATTCCTCTGCATCCCTAACAGTTTTATCCAATAAATAAGTGTTTACAACTCAACTTGTTTTCAAAATACTGATTTATATATTGCGTTTTAAGCTGAACTAGAGTTATTATTCACATATTTAAACAGTAATTAAGAAACAAGCTTTGAAACTTCAAATGAGTTTTGTTAAAAAAGTAAAACTTTCTCATTACTAAACTACCTGTTCTCTGCATCTTGAGAGTTTTGTATTTGTCATTTATAAGTCACCAGCTGTGTTAAAAACTATTTCATCAATTGGCTCTATACTCTGAAACTTAATCAAATGTTACACAATAAAGCTAAATAAAAAAGATGAAAACTGTCATAGTTTGACATTTAATGATTGAACAAAATTATTTCGGTATGTATGCAAATCATCACATTGAAAATTCAATATTGATGAGGTTAGTTGACGTATTCTTGAAATATTTCTAATCATACATCCCAAGATTAAAAACCCAAAGTTATCATTCAACATACCTATCATATAAATATACGCATATATATATATATATATATATATATATATATATATATATATATATATATATATATATATATATATATATATATATATATATATATATATATATATATGCTCACTATATTCTCAAATCATAGCGGATCTCTAATATCTAACAATTCAGTCCAACTTTAGTATGTAAGAGATAAATAGAAAATATTGCCCTATAAAAGTAAGAATATACTAACTCACTCAAACAACACGATAGTTCTAATTTTATTTTATTTTTTCGAAAGTTAACATCAAATGGCTCCAAACACAATTTTTTTCTTTTAAAAAAAACAAAAGTCTCATAAAACCAAATTTTTTTGTTGTCAGATTTTCACTTTTTATCATCAGATAGTGACATTTTCATTCAATTAAAAAAAAAGGAATAATGAAATTTAATTTATCAGAAATGGTTAATAATCGGTATCTGTTAATTGATTCAACCATAGAAACAAAGTTGATAACCGATATATATTTTTTTTTAGTTTCAGTTTTTATTTTACCGCCCCCCTAAAAAAAACTGTTAATTTTCATCAGAAACGAAATCTAAGTATTTAAATTCTAATTCTGAATAGAGTAAGAACAAAGATTCTAGCAGAATAGTATGAATAAATAAATAATATATTTATTTATAATAATCTACCCAATGCTCAATTTATTCGAAATTTCCCAGATTGAAATCATGAGTTAATTGAAACTAGACCACTATAGAAAACCTGGAACCACTGGACGGCCGTTTCGTCCCAGTATGGGACTCCTCAGCAGTGAGCATCCACAAACTCCTTCTGATAATAACCATCTACTCACTGGTGACTGACTCCAAGAGATACTCCTGGAGTTCTAGTGGGAAGCCGTTACCAGTGGAGTTCAACGAAGTCTGTTGTGAGATATCAGCTCACTGAAGACAATGGTGTACGGTAGCGAAAATTCGTAGATTGGTTGAAAATAGACATTACCACCGTTGGATGCCGGCTCAGTGGTCTAGTTGGTTAAGCGCCTGGCGCGAGACTGATAGGTCCTGTGTTCGAATCTCGCGGTGTGCGGGATCGTGGATGTGCACTGCTGAGGAGTCCCATACTAGAACGAAACGGCCGTCCAGTGCTTCCAGGTTTTCCATGTTTGTCTAGCTTCAATTGACTCATGATTTCAATCTGTGAAATTTCTAAAATCTCCACAAACAACTTCTGATATTATTCGAAATTATCAAATCAAACCTTGGTAATGATACCTACAGAATAGTATTAATTCATTTTATATCGTAGGTTCTCGTCAGCTCCTTACAACCTGAGATATTTAAAAATCATAATTACATAATGGGTTTAAACTACTTAAATGAGAGGGTCTAGTTGGAAGTTATGTTGAAGATATATTAGTATAATATAGCAAGGGTATAAATAAATTTAATAGACTGAATATTGTAAGTATTTATGAAGTCACAAACTTGTATATTCCAAAGTATATGTATTAGGATAACAGAAATTTGGTTAGATATGTTCATTTCTGAGCATATTATAAAATAACACCCCAACTTTAAATCTTCAATAATACAATCATACAACATTTTATATTGTCATACTGTCTATGTTTTAAAACTGTTTAAAGTAATGAGCAACTAAATTAGGATGAGTTTTTAAAGTGTTACCGAAGCAAGATTTTTATTTAAACATCAGGGTTTACACATCATTGTCAGCATAAAGTTCCAAGAATAGGATATAGTTTGTATTGATGCGTTTGTCTAGAAATATAATGAGAGATTCAAGATTATATTATTTAACCCAGAGAATATCATACTATCGAAATCTACCTACCTATTTGAACACCCTCTGTAAATAGGTCAACATGAGGAGTGAAAACTAAATCTTAAGAAACTATTTTCTGGTTAGTTGCTTGAATTTGAAAGTAATTAGTTTAATGCAAACCTACGTCGAACCTGATGAATTTTTAACCCCTTACAATTTGAAGATAATGTCAGTGATTTGTATATTTATTTGTGTTATAGTTAAACTACTCTAAAGTTTGAAAAAAGAAGTAAATATTGATAAATGGGATCGTAGTGCAGCTATGTTTTCAATGTTTTAACTCCATGACATATAAACAGTTCATACCATGTTGAAACAGCAATAAATCTAGTAAAACAGCTACTTTTTGTGCTATCAAGTATGAATATATATTTAGTAATGAAACTCGAGGTTGTCTAAGACAAAACTGTACTATTTTAATTCTATGACAATATCAAATTACTAAAGAAAAGGAGAATTTTTTAGGATGGACCTTATGAAAATATCAGAGAAAATAAATGTCTAATCACACTGAACAAAGTTAATGCTAAAGTTTCTGGAGACGAGATTAGGAAATTATAGTTGCCATTTTTAGTCTATAATGTTGAAGTTTGTATAGATTTTTCGCATTACTAATTAACCACAACATGAATGTGCTACCAAACTAACTATGTAGATTCGCAGGCGGATAATGTCTTCAATATCAATTAATGTACGGAATCAAATATTCGACTGAATTTAAAAACGCTATTACTGTTATCCATCTGTAAGAAGATTAAACAATGACAAGTTTTGAATTTTGTGTAATATTTACAAATATACCTATTGAGAAATGCCTAAATGTTACATTGTAGTGTTTAGAATCTGACGTGAACTTGGAAATGTATTGTCTGTTGTAACTCATTCAAATTATTAAAACGTTGAAATCATGCTTACATTCCATTTTGTTCATTTTGAGAAAGTCTATACTGGTAAACAAAAGAATTATCAGTGTAGTTTTCAGCTTCCTCGATTGATGCAAACTTGTTTATAAATTTGATGTACCGAAGATTAATCTGAAAATATATTTTTTTCCACAAAGATGTCTAGTTATAGTGTCCGGATAATGCCTTTATTAATACGGAATGAAATTGATTAAAAGAAGCGTTCAGAACAATGTCAACAGCATATCATATAGCGTCAGGTTTATCAAGAAGATTAATTCTGTCGACCATAATCTAGTACTTCACGACTGTTTGTTTTAAAGAAAACAGAATCAGAAGGAGTTTTATGGAGATTGTAGTAATTTCAATAGTTGAGATCATGAGTCAGTTGAAGCTAGACCACCATGGAGAACTAGAAAGCACTGAGTGGCCGTTTCGTCCTATTGTAGGACTCCTCAGCAGCGAGCATCCACGGCCCCGCCTTGCGAGATTCGAACCGAAGACCTAACAGTCTCGCGCCAGGCGCTTAACCAACTAGGCCACTGAGCCTCACCCAACGGTGTTAATGCCTAACTAATGTCTAGCTAATGTTTAACAAGAGGACGAAACGGCTGTCCAGTGCTTCCAGGTTTTCCATGGTGGTCTAGCTTCAATTGACTCATGATCTCAACTGTTGAAAAAACGATCATTACATAAAATCAGTAAATTCCGAAATCGAAGACAATCCTAGAGATATCTAGTTTAGAACTCAGCATATATATAATAGGCAGTAAGGATCTGATAGACAGAATTTTGTAACTTGGCACGGATGGCATAGAGATTTTACTCAATTTAAACCTGACTTTACTGAGTATGTATGATTACCCTGAATACTGTATTTAAAAGATTATTAAGAAAATAAGGGAAAATGGAGGTTCGTTCAAGGAATAAGTTAACTCTATCGTTATTCCCCCACTACATGAAATGAAGTACGAGCAATCCTAAATAAACATGAAATAAAGACATTTTTTCGAATGAATAATATTCCTAGTTACTTATTACTTATAGTCAAAAATACAATGCCAAAAGAGAAATACAAGAATTCTGGTCGGGAAATTTAATTTAATGGCCTTACTGTCATATATCTGGGCGAGATATTAGAAATGTTAAATGAAAGAGTGACGAAACAAACTCTGTTTAGAGCACATGGCTATACATTTTGAATACTCTAAAAGTTTGGAAACACATTGACGATAGCACTAGGTATGGTAGCAACCGAACACAATCAACTTTGATAGAATCAGAATCCTTCATAACGTATTCTGATTCTTCTACTGAATATCTGACAGACGAATTACAATATAACTGAGTGAATCCAAAAAACTCAAACAAATAAATTCGAATACAAGTAATTGCAACACTAGAATTTATCTTTCATTCCTGTATCCCTCTTCAGCCTATGTAATTTAGACGACAGCTATATATATTTAAATAATTTTTTCGAATACCTTGTTTGGATATGTCTCTGACAATCTGTTCCAATACGTCTGCCCCCCTATCATTGACCTGTAAACTTCCTACACCAATCAAAAGTGTCATTTTGACCGGCCTATGAAATGCTTATTATCGGATTCATAATAGTAGAGAATTTGGTTGGTCAATATAGATTCTAGTCAACATTATTATCTCCCATGTTTATTTTGAATAGCGAAATAGATATGATGTTCAGGGAGATGTTTGAAAGTCGTTTAGTTCATAGTTGCTTATCAACTCCATTTGTATTCTGAAAAGAGCAAGAACAAAGATTCTAGCAGAATAGCATGAATTCATTTTATTTCGTAGGTTCTCATCAGCTGCTTACAACCTGTGATATTTAAAAATCATAATTACAAAATGGGTTTAAATTGCTTATTGAATATTGTAAATATATACCTAATGTGAAAGAATATTCTACAACATTAATTGTGACAACAGTTCAAAAGTGGGTTAGAGACAATTGATTACATAATGAATAAACATTGATAGAAATATAGTGAGTAGAGTTCAGTTGAAAGATTATTCATTTGAAAGATAGTTGAAAAAATAAAGTAACATCAATGATGTAATAAATGCAAAAGAAAGAAAAAAAGGGGAAAAAAGTTTAAGGTGCTGTGAAGGAATATTTGTCACCAGGGCAAGGAAAGATTAACCACCGTCTCCTTTTGAATACATAGATCACGTTTTTGACGCCTGATGGCAATGGCTTCAGCAAATTTCAGAAAACCGGAGTTTGGCTGCTTACTAATCACCCTAAAGGATTGTAAGGTGTCCTGTATCAAGGAGATGTTTGGTGATTGCACTGTTCAGAGTCTTTCTTTCCCTTATTCTAAGATTTTTTGGAACATGTTAAAAAATCTAAGATATGCTCTCCTTTCAGTTCGGCCGATGTAGCTGCTTTGGCAGGTACACGTAAATTTATAAATACAGTTGGCGGTAACCTGAAAGGGTTGCTTGTCGATCTTTGATTGGGTTATTGAACATGTTGATTCATAGAGAGTTAAAAGTTTAGCAGCAGGATAAGTTCTGGCTAGAACAGTGTTCAGTTTCCTGTTGATTATTTGTGCGACGTTATCACCTTTAAAGTTAAGATTTATATATACTGGCTTTTTATTGACCGTAGTTATTTTCGTCTTGTTTTCTTTGGGCTTTTTATACTTGTTAATAAACTTTTGTGGATAAAAGTTGTCTTTTAGACATTTTTCTACGTTCAATGAGTCTTCTTCCAGTTTATCGTTGGTACATATCTTTTCAACCCTGTAAAATAGTGTTTTAACCAATGCCTTCTTGTAACTAATTGGACGAAAACTATTGAAATTCAGGTAGAGGCCATTCCAATTACTTTATCTATAAACTGAACGTTGGACTGTCCCGTCTCCCCAGCGTTTTATGGCAACATCAAGAAAGTGGAACATGTCGTTGTGTTCGTGCTCCATAGTGAAATGTATGTTAGTGTGAGCGTTATTAAAGAGTTTTAGCAGGCGGATTGCATGCTGTTTATTGTTACAGATAATAAATTTGTCGTCCACATATCTGGAGTATTCAGTTGTTTCACTAATTGCCTGCTTAAGTACCGTGTTTTCAAGGTACCCCATAAAAATATCTGCCATAATTGGACCTAGTGGGCTTCCCATTGCTACGCCATCGATTTGGCGATATATGATGTTATTGAATTGGAATTAAACATTTGTTGTGCACATCAGTAGTAGTTTTTTAATTATGGGGCTGGTAAAGGTAGGAGATCATCATTCTGACAAATTATATCAATAGTTTCAAAAAGTGGTATACTGGTGAACAAGGATGTTACATCAAAACAGACCGTGAACTTGTCGGTAACATTCGTATGATTTAGTCTATCAGAAAACTGGAATGAATCTCTTAGCGTATATGTTGCTAATCGACGACGAACCGGTTCTAGTTTTACTGCTAACCAGCGTGCACCTTTATGATACGGTGAGTTGATCATTGATAGGATGGGTCTAAGGGGAACGTCATGTTTGTGGACTTTTGGTAAACCATACATATGAGGTAGACGTGAACCACGTGGTCTTAGATCGTTGTAAGTAGAATTATCAATCATTTACATTTTTAGGAGTTCTCTAAGCATGCCTGTGACTCGTTTATCTGTTGAATGAGTCAAATCTTTTTGGGATTTATCTACCTTGAACCTCAGTTGATCGTCTAGGATTGACTTCATCTTAGCGACATAATCAGCTGTACTCATTAGGACGACACCTGAACCCTTATCCGGTTGTAAAATCATCACCTTATTATTTCGCTTGATGTTTCTTAGGGCTATTAGATGTTCTTTGGATAGAATATTTGCCTTTGGTGTCGATGACACAAAGTATTGGTTGGCAATATCAACTAACTTTGATTTGAACCACCCTTTCTTTTCTTCATTCATTGGCTGCAAATCTTTTAACTGGTCAAACAGATTTCCGAATTGAGCTTCTGTATCAATCCTGTCAATATTTGTTTTTGGTACATGAAATTTGAGTCCCAGTGATAAGGCTTCTGCTTCTATACTGTTAAGCTCCGTATTTGATAAGTTATAGATAAACTTCGAAGGGTTTTCCGGAAATCCTAAACATAGTTGTTCTTTTATCAGTGTTCGATAGAGATTTATGGAAATCATTGCAAACCTTGATTTGAAGATTACGGATAAAGTTCCTGAATTTTATTCGACATACGATGTTTAGACCATTAACAGCTTTAACAAAAAGCACCGGCCTCAGTCCTTAATCGTGTAATGAGTAATTTTGTCGATTCAACATGAGATTTGGTAATGCGTTTTAAATTTTTAAGCGATGGTGGAAGTTTACATGAACGTAAGGATTTTACAAACTGACGTGGGAAACAGCCCAACTGAAGTAGCTCAAATCAATCTCAAGAAACGTAATTATTTCTTATTTCACTCCCTGAGATTTTCAGAAATATCATTTCTATTTTCATAATATTGTTTTTAGTGTAACTGTCGAAAGTTATCTGTGACACCACTGACTAATTAATATGACTTTATTCTAAGTTTCCCATCAATTTATGTTATTCTACAGACTTCAAGTCACTAAAAATGGTGGCTTTACTACATCTTGATTTACGAGCGCTAGGCAATAAGCAAATACTAAATACTGATTACGATTAGTCCATGACCAAGGAATCATGATGGTTTCTGTTGACAAATAATTGATGAATTGGTTCGATTCAGCAGACTTAGTCGTCAACTGAATTACTTCCAAATCAACCTTCGATAATGTTTCATTCAATTGCGGTTATTAACGAAACATCTGTATTATGAATAATAACTAAACAATGTATTCTTTGAAAAACATTATTCAATCTAACAATGAATAGTCTTTATTCAACTACAAGTTCCCATAATACAGCAGCATCTTTTTTGACAGAAAAAAATGTCTCAACTTACTTCAATCATTTTCTCGTCTAGATGGTATGTTTCAACATAATTCTTTAAATCCTTCATACTGATTTTTTCATCATGATCAAGATCAACTGCAAAAAATGCATGTAAAAATGGATCCATCAAAATGAACAAAAATTCACTGTGAATTAGGTAAATGTGTGTTTGAAATGATTGAATCAATTTATATGTTGCTTATTTGTATTTATACTGCAATATTGTTGACTGATATATATCAGTTCATATCACATTATGATTGATTATATAAATTGAAGATGTCGGAATGACAACACTTAATGTTGTTGGTTTTGTTCAACGCCTATTGGAATATGAAAATATGATATATGATTATTCTAGTATAGGCATGCACATGTATCATGAAATGATGCAAATGTTTACACATACATCCATATATGCACACGTATAGATAGTAAATAAAGAGTATGAAAAATTTTGACTTAATAAAGAAAACAAATTAACCGATTATGCCTAGAAAAATACTCTTTGAACGTATTCGGAACACACATGATTAGGACATCACTAAATAAAAATGAATTCAAAAGATAATGTTTAGCACAGTCTAGGCATAGGTTAGTGAATCGTTTAAAATCAGTCAGTCTTGAATAATTACTTTTTCCTACATGATGCAGAATATTTATCGATCAAAATGATGACATGTGAGGTACCGTATTCTTTGAGTTGAATCACTTAACCGTGAATCTTTAATTGTCTTTCTAGAGAATATCATCAGTATATCATTTAAAGGTACATCAGATCATTGTTTCTGGTTATTATTTGCAACTAATGATCATGCTCGAGCTGAAATGCATTGATTTTTTGTTATAAATATTTTTCTCAACTTATTAAGTTCAAATGTAGTGACTTAGCTAAGTAGATAAATTCCATTTTGAGTTAATGGAATATAAGCAGTCTATTAACTTGATGATGAAGTTCAGTTTCCAAATTAGCAATACTGCATGAACATCAGTGACCAGGAACATGAATTATATATATATATATATATATATATATATATATATATATATATATATATATATATATATATAATTGCATAATAATTACATAATAATTGCACAATACGTGACAATCTACGTACATACTGTGGTTGACACAGAAAGAGATGAATCAAGTAATAAATACATAGTTTTAAAAATGTGGTTCGTAATTTATTCCGAACGGACATTATTCTCAAGAATTATAATAATGTGAAGCGGCAGTTGAGAAACTGTAATTCTTAGTAGAAGAAACAGGACACTCTGTTGAAGTATGAATAATTTATCGGAGGGTGATTCCGTTAAGATAATAAAGTAGTTATGATCATCCATAACTTCAGAGAAACTGAACACACAGTGTGAACAATCGTTGCCGTGATAGGTCTGCAGTTATACAATTTTTAGGTTGTTTTATAACCCATTGACTTGTTTAGATATTACAACAGATATATGAACAATGGATATTCTTTTTAACAGATTCTCTTTCGGTTCTACAAATATATACACAAAGTGATAATCTGAAAAGTGGTCAGGTTTTAGGGCAAAGTGAATCGTTTAGTTATAGAATGTGAATTTAGAATCGTTAAACAAAATAGAATAAAATTGTTAATGTCTCGATGACTCGAATGCAAAGTTAACTTGAATCAGCTTATACGTCATTTTGTAAAATTCATGATCCGAATAAATAAGGGTCAGATAGGGTGAGAGAAATAAGAGTGCAATTACAATTCGATCAAATGTTTATTGTAGGACTATATTATGTAGAAATTATAAGACATAATAAGGTGGGGTTAATGAGAAGTAAATGAATCATATATTGGGGAAATTCATAATGATGTTGAACCAATAATAATAACGATACTACTAACAATACAAAAATACCTAAATAAAGAGAACGGAGACATTTGTATTTGACTAAGAAAGGCTACAATTACTTTAGTTAAATTAGATCATTAAATAGCTAAGATTAACATTGATTTATTAGCCCTGAAGTTGACCAGGTTGGCAAAAGCGGTTTAAGGTACTTCTTTTGTACACATGGTTAGTGCTTCCACCATTTGAAGTAATTTGAGTGTATTTATATATTATTTAAATAATTCTAACTGGCCAGGCACAGTTTAAGTGCATATACACGTATCGACAAACCACTTATTCCACTATCTATTCAACATTATCTTCATAGTTTATTGTTGTACTACGAGAAGTATGGATTATGTTGTAACGAGTGAACTGCAGGTTAGATGCGCAGCGTTTTTTCGATCGATTCAGTGACACGGAAAACACGTAAGGACGACCTAGAGTCTCGATTGGCCCCACTTCCCTGTCTAGCCTAGCCAGTAGAGTCCAGAACGCAAGTCACAGCCTCTGAGATATGAATCGTTATATTTCAAACATACTCTGTTTATATACCAACCAAACAGACCACAGATTAATTGAATATCACGTGGTTTGAAACAGTTCTTCTTCAACGTAATATTTCTTCTGAATATAAATCTATATGAACGTAGCTTACAAACATTTCTACATGAACGTCATTGTATCACTGTAATTATCTGCTAAGTTAAAGATTTTATAATTAGATTTACTGTCTTACTTGAAACCTAACAATGCTACTTATTTAATCTAATCTTGGCAAAACAAAGAGTTTAAATCTTGAAACTAATAAACCATAGATTTGATCTGGATGATTGAGTACTTCTTACGAAAATATGTACACTACTGAAAATTATACAAATATTAAGTGAAGCTAAAAAATGCACACAAATATACTGGTGTTGCATACGCATGATGACGTTTATTACACTTTACGCTATGTTTTTTAACGAAATCATCAAAACAAATTAATTAACAGATTAACTAGGGAAAAACAATGACTCATCAAAAGATTGTAATTATTCAAGTGAAGCTATATAACTTGATTAAGTTGGAGTTTTGTTCTCTGAGCTGAATAGTTTGGTCGCGAGGCTTTCATTGTTTTTCTCAAGAACATAATCAGCACAAACTTCGGGTAGAAGTCACACAATTAGTCACTAAATTAAACCCATAAACAAAATTCTACATAAGTCATCCACGTGAGCTACAAATCTTCTCTAGCATCTCATATAACTTGAAGTAAACAATTATTCTAAATGATTTGTAAATTTTAGCTACTTACATTTTAAGTAATCATAAGAATTCAAGTAAATTTTATGGAAGTAGTTTAATTTCTTGATCTGTTTTTGTTAACCGTTTCGTCCTATTATGGGACTCTTCAGCAGTGCGCATCCACGACCCAGGATCTGTCAGTTTCACACGCAAACCCTTAATCTGCATTTAGCATTTCATTAAATAGAATCCCAATATTATTTAGCTTGGCGAAGCTAAATCAATAAATACTAAGGTTTTAAGTGTTCCTTATCAAACTGGAAAATTCAATTCAATATTAATACTGGATGGAAATCGGATACTTTATACAGCTATTTCTGTTGTATGCTGAGGTACTAATAACTTCACATATTAACATATTTTAATAAATTTCAGATTTCAATGTTCTTTTCATTTACTTTATCAAAATTAATGCGTCCGTTTCTCCAAATCGATTGAAATTATCACTTCGCTTTTATATTACCAACCTGATACTTTATCTTTTGAGTGATAGTAATCCATTGTGCAATCCTGAGATTGAGACCTGTCCAATAACGTTTCTCGATATATCAAACAACAGAGCACTGATAATTCTTCAAAGTAATTTGACTACAAATAGTGTTATTGAAACTCTCTGAACCTCAGAAGTAATTGTCAGGAAACTCAGAAGACTTGGATTTCTTTACGGTTGACGATTATCAAGATTGATTATTACCAATCTATGTGGAGCAAATGTTCCTCGAAACGTTGAAACTTAGATTACTGAATTCAAAAACCTAACATTCAGTTATTCCGATAGTAACTAATTTCTTATAAAACAATTTTGTCTAAACTAATTGGTTACTAGGCATTAACGAATGTCTTATATTATTTAATCTTTAATAATGATTGTAATCTTTCATTCAATTTGTACTGTGTATACTAGCCTACATGATTCAATATTGAAATTGTTATTAGATAATGTAACAATAAATGCGAAATGCGTTTTCTTTCAAAGAAGTACACAATATATAATTACTTGAAAAATACAAGTAAATTGTTTTACATTCAAGATGTATACTGTCAAGAAAATCGAAACATCCAAAGTTAATGGGCGAAGTTCATTAAAATTTTATAGAGAAAGATAAAGTAACAAAATAATATAGTTTTGTTTTGTTTCGAAATCGAAATAAAATATACTGCCATAGTATTCTTTCATTCATTTGTACGATAAATGATGAATGAATGCTGATTGATTTTAAAATGAAATGACCAATTTGGAATATGAGTATAAGTTGTCCAATATGAACCTCTGACAATAGTCACATGCCAATGACGACCATATGTTGTATCAAGCCATCTTTTAAGTTTTTCCGAAGCTTCTTTTTCTATAAATTTATCTTGTGGTTGAGTAAGTCTATAAGCTTCTTCTGATATTTTGATTTGATCTTGTAATGGTAGTTCTTGCATAATTACAAAGATTTCAGGTCGTAGGCCTGTTGTAGGTATTCCGTACAATGGTTTGCTGATTACAGCTTGACTAAAAAATATATAGGTATCGAGATTATAACGTTAGATTTCAAAAAAACAAAATGATTAAAAACTCCATATAAAGAAATGAAGTACTTTGACGTAATCATTATGGAATTAATTTCTACTTGAGTTTCTTTTATGAAATATAAAAATGATTTTATTTACTAACCAACAAGAGATAGGGGACCCTTAAAATCCGAATAACACTAGTCGTGTCTTAGCTCAAATCTGTTAATCAGTTTGAACCAATGACCCAAATAGAAAACATTCTAATAACCGATTTTAGATGACCGTGTCGAAATCCGGATGTTTAAACTTTTTAGTTCAGGCAAGGTTGTGTGTGCTCACATGATGTGTACCAGGTTAGGAAAAAAGGATTG